AAGGTGCCCCCGTCATTACCCATGTGCTGCGTGTTTGCCCACCAGTTAAATTCTTAGGGGGATTGTTTGGGGAGATGAATGGGGCCAAAGTGCTGAAGGACGTATCAGAGTTCAGCAAACAAAACCTCCACAGATTGGCTCAGCATTGGCTCAGTCCAGTGGGCAAAGTTAGTGGCGAGGAGGTGAGATGAGGTGGGGGGGGGAGGGCCGATGTAAGTTTTTGCCTGTCAATTAAGGCCGCCATGAATGTCTGCGAGGTGTAGGGAGCTCGCCATCTCTTCGGTCCTGTTGGATCAGTGGAGATAGCTGAGGTGCCGCTCATCAGAAATGAGAAAAAACCCTGTCAATATTCAACTATTTAATAACCCTGAATGTGCCGCTCACCGAGTCTTTTGAAGACTGTGGGGTCTGCGTTTTCCCTTTGATGTACTTTCATTGTCAGACTCTCTATCTGAAATCTTCCAAGATGGAATTGGTGACATTTTCTCTTTTTTTCATTCATTCAATCCAACCTCAAAGGTTTCCTGCAGTATTTCTCCAGTCCAAGATGCTTTGTTGTATCAGGATGTGGGTGGCGGGGGGGCATTCAAGTTGGCTGTAGTTCCCCACTAGGATTTCTATCACAGCGTAATGGAACACCAGGAGATTTAGGCAGGGACATTGCAGACAAAATATATATTTTTTATGTGCCTCGACTACTAAAGCATAAACCTTGGTGTCTAGATTGCTCCAATTTAGTTCCTTTCTCCAGTGTCAGACACATTGAAGCAAAACACACTTTCTCTTTAAACACACACACGCGCACAAACACACACACACACACACACACACACACGCAAAACTCAACATTGATAGTTGACAGGTGAAACAAGTGTGCCGGTACCATCTCGAGTCCATACTGTAACAAGGATTATATTTCACTATTGATGCAAACCTTCCAGAATCAGACTCACAGACTCACTATAAGAGCCAACATTATGGCTGTAGCCTACTTTTTTGACTACTATCATTAAAATCGTTTTAAATTCAATTGTTTTTTTTAAATAATATCACATCTTGTTTGATAGTGGCATATTATAATATTTTTTGTTTCTTTTATGTGGTTTCAATATCAAAGTTTGACATTTTTGACATGTAAAATCAAATAAATGGGAATCCAAAATCATTTGTTACATTTGAGAAGTGTACAAAAATGATGAGGCTTCTTTTTAGGTTAAGACTACAAATACTTGTAGTGATAGGACTTAACACTTAATACCATGTTCCATTGTGTGTACATTATCAATCCATAAATTAGTCATACAAAAACAAATTAGTGTTGCTCAAAAGTTATTCTAACTCATTTTAAAATACTTTACAAGCTTAACACCTACAGCACATAAAGGCAAACTAAAATTTCTTCTGTCTATGAATGTTCATGTTTTTCATTCAAAGGGAGGTGTTTCTTCTTTTGTTTATTTTGAAGCAGCATTCACATCTGTAGAAAGTCAGAAGATTCAGAAAAGTGGACTTTTCCTTTCATAGGGAAATTGAGGACTAAAATTGTCAGGGTCCAGTCTGACCCTGGCTGTAAATGCTTATTGCTTGTAAGAGGTTGGTGTTATGGTGGATGTATAGATATCTATCTTACTTTTACTTTGAATGTGACCTCTCTTTTACATGTACTTGAAAGAAGGTTCTTATGCAGTGTTCTTCAACTCATCAAAAGGCATCTCCTCCTTGACCTTTCACTTTAAAATATCATACAAACATAGAAAACATGTTTATTATAAAGGATGCCGAGACACCTGAAACACTCAAAGCAGATTCCTGAGTCGAGGCAAAGATGATACAGATTCTATGTCACACCACGTCTAGAAGAGTCTCTGTGAAATGAGTAGGGCGGACTTTCCCTCACTATGAAGTATCTTTCAAGGTCTGTCTGGAGGAGGACATAACTATAGAGCCCACACTCCACAGTGTACAGTTGTAATGTCTAACAACTTCCTCCATTTCTCCTCCTCATATTCAGCTAATTTGAGTCTCCCCGTCTCTCTGCGCTGCTGTGTGCTCTATACATCTTCACCCACCATTCCCCCACATTTTCACTCTTTGCACTCTCACTCTGGAGGACCTATACACCGGCAGATAAGAGGAAATGAAGTCTCGTCTGCACAATTTGAAGCGCTGCTTTGAAGCTGAATGCGAAATAGCAGCTCGGCTCCTCTCTGCTCCTCTCCGGCTGGTAAAATAAGGGCCCTCTCGTTAAAAGCACTTTACCTGTGCTCCCTCTATGGATCATTGCTCTCATTAAACAGATTTGGGGTTATATTCAAATCACAATTACTTCCAGTACTAACTGTTAATGGGCACAAGGGTTGAAAGAGTAAGAGAAATGTTTCTGACATTTTCTTTTATATCTCTTTGAGCCAGGATGAGAACACATCAAAAAGGTGTAAGGTCAGACATAAACCAACCTAAACCTAGAAGGGTGATTGATTTCAAAGATGTGCAGTATTACAGTAAACTGTACCTTAAACCCCAGTAAACTGTGTTTAAACTATACTCTAAATCTTAATCTTATGGGAACAGTGACTTACATATCTTGAATTATAGAACTTTCTCTGCAGACAGAGAACATGTACCTGAATATGAAACAATCATTACTTTGTGTGTGTGTGTGTGCGTGCGTGCGTGCGTGCGTGTGTGTGGGTGTGTGTGTGCGTGTGTGTGTGTTTGTGTGTGTTTATATGTGTGTGTGCGTGCGTGTGTGTGTTTGTGTGTGTTTATATGTGTTTGTGTGTGTTTATATGTGTTTGTGTGTGCTTATATGTGTTTGTGAAAGTGTGTGCATTTGTCTGGGGAGTCTTGTATAGACTGCTGAGAAGAGTCCCTTGGGTCCTATACGGCACAATGCCAAGAAGAGTTCAGGCATGATACTTTCATCTACTCACCGCAGAGATCCTGCTGTGTGTGTGTGTGTTTGTGCATATGTGTGTGTTTTTATGTGTGAGTGAGGGCATGAACGCATATGTGACACGTTTGTCACTTTTCGCGATATGCAAGCAAAGCGAAGAAACATCTTACTGCAGGTGCAGCGAGTTTTCCTAATTTGACACTAAAACCACTTAAACTTTATAATATTGAAATGACAATCTGCACTTTGTGTCAACTGTTTGTCAGATAAAGACGAACCTCTTTATTACTAACAAACTAATTTCCTCCTCTGAGACTTTCTTTGAGTTTGTGACGTGCTGACTGCCTCTGGAAAAGAAAGTTATAATACATGCATCGTTAAAGACAAAAAGAAGCCAGAATATGTGGATATAATGCATCTTTCTGTGGATGATTGTGTGTGTGTGTGTGTGCGTGCATGCGTACGTGCGTGCGTGTGTGTGTGTGTGTGTGTGTGTGTGTGTGTGTTTCAGATAAATAGAGAATACAGTATGCACACAATTTAGCATTGTGTGTATTTGTGAGCTTGCATGTGGTTGCACCTCGCTGCTACTTTGTTGCATGTGTGTGTGTGTGTGTTTTACTGTATGTGTGAGGGCCTCTCCTGGTAACTGCCTAGGGCAATAGCACAGGATGTAATCCCATGTATGCCTGCAGTCTCTTAGCTGCCTGCGTAGATGTGGAGGAACGTTTTAGCCCCTGCAGTGTGCCGTAGGGCACGGGCGCTCACCCTCCCGCTCTGCTAACAGACAGCACCTGCCTGCTGCAGCAGCAACACAGTCTCCTCTTCACTTTCAACGTGTGTGTGTGTGTGTGTGTGTGTGTGTGTGTGTGTGTGTGTGTGTGTGTGTGTGTGTGTGTGTGTGTGTGTGTGTGTGTGTGTGTGTGTGTGTGTGACTCTCTCTGCTCTCTATATCCGTGTGGCAGAGTTCAATTTCCAGCAATGAGAGATGGTTTAAGCAGGGAGAAATTGACTTTTGACAGCCATTATATTAAAGTAGGCATACTTGCACACATTTGTATCAGTGTGTGGAGGTGAAGAGCCCCCTCTTTGCCTGGAAATCAAATCATCTACTTAATATAAAACCTTAGCTTGATTGGCACTTGGTTGTACAGGAGCTAAGAAAAAAGTTGGTAAAACAAGCTTACAGTGGAGCTGAGTGTCATGCATTGATTGAAAATGAAGTGCAGACATCGTTAGTTCTCAATTCAGGATCCATGGCAGGCAATCAAGTTTCATTTGACAAAGGAATTCAGGGAAACAGTTGGACATGAATAGCTTTATTCAGTAGTTTAGAAATCATATGACTTCCAAAAGTAGAACTTCAAGGAAAATTATCAAAGTGATTTCTTGCTCTTGAAAGACTCTAAGCTGTTTTTCCTGAAATTCTTGTTAAACATAAAAAAATGTTTTTTTTTAATCAAAAAAATATGCTCTGTTCGACTGCTTCAGTGTTATATTCACATCCTCCCCAACCAGGTTTTGGAACTGTTCCACCTATGGAAGAAATGTAAGTCTTGTCTTTAAGATGATTTGTGAATGGGGACATTATATTGAGAAACTCTGGACTATCTGATCTCTTACATTTCTTGTCCATTCTGAATCATATGGCAATAGTGTAACAATATGCTTGGACTGCTTAATATCAATCAGGTAGCACTTTGCTGAAATGTTTTCATTATTTCATTATTGACATAAGTCATAAGAGAGTAAATAATTGTAGCTCTTTTAAGGATGCATTTTTTGAACTAAAAGGAAAAACATTCTCTGGAATTTATTGAGTGGCAGAATTGCCTTTACGGTATGCATGATCAATATCAGAAAATCATCCCATACGTTCAAGGTCTTTCTGATCAATAGAAGAGAAAAACATTCACTTGATATCCTCACCTGTCTTTTTTAGCCTTTCTCCATTCTGCCTTTATCCTTATCCATTCAACTGGTTATTATTCCCAATGTCTGACCTCCTGCGGTGCTGATGGAGAATCCTGATGAGCTTCTCAAAGAGAACTGAAGGAGTGACAGGTGGTCCTGATGATATCTATCTATTCTCCCCCTTCCATAGCACCACGCTGCAATCCTCTCCCATTGATGTCACCTCTGATGTCCATAGCTGCAGCAGAACACAGCAGACAGGTAAATCAATAGGTGTCATAATCGATAGGTCAGAATGAGGAATCAGTGAAAGGCCAGTGCCGATCGATTCCCACATTATTGCACTCTACCCTCTGTGCTGTCATTAGCTATGAAACCCTGTAGGGTGCCGAACCCCCTGCCAGCTTTTTCGCAATATCAACTAATCCTGATGATTAGTTCTGCTCTGGCTGAAGGGGCAGAGGATGATTTTTTTCTTCATCTATGTGCGATGTGTTATGTTTCGATATCTGCCTGGCCCTCACACCTCTGACCCGTCTCTCTGTGAGATGGATCCTCGTTAGGAGAAAGTCCACTCGCCCCCCGCTGCATGGAGACACTGCCATCATTAGTGAGGGACAGTGCTGTGTGGGGGCCGCCGTGCTGCAAAGATCTCAGACCAGCACTCGTGAGCTCCAGGAGAGGATCTTGGAGCTTTGTGGGTTGAAAGGTTGAAAATCTTACACCACTCAGCCAAGAGCGATCCTGGTCAGGTACAGAGCTTAGCAAGACATCCACCTCAGCTCCCAGACGAAAAGTTCATCTGGCTGAGCCAAATCTGATTTTCACCTCTGTCTAGACTGGTGTCATATGGGGTGAGAAGATGGCTGTCAGGAGTCCGCTTGTGTATTTTTTTTTTCTCAAAGAATGAAACCTTTCTATGTTTTCAAAACCTATGGAATACCTAATACACTATAGCCTTCTAACTCTGTATTCTAAGGTCCTGTTAACCCGACAGTTATTATAGAAAAACTGCTGCATACCACATTTGATATGAAATCATTTGAGTTTTGGAGAGACTTTCTAATATTGGGTGATCTTGGTTAATCCTTTATATCAATTACAAAATCCATAAATTTAAATTCATGATAGTCAGAGGAACAGTCCTGGCAGCTTACCCGACTGTTTTCACCCAGAGTGAAGGTAGCAAGAGGTTACTGAGAGTAGCATTTGCTGACAGTTGAGCATGGATGTCTGTTTTAGGTTGTGGAAGTTTCGTTTGGGCAATTGATAATATATTTTCGATTCAATTATCACAGAAAAAAATCCTTCAGAGGTACTTTCCTTATGTATTAATACAGCCAACATTAAGCATTGCGTTGGTTTGGAACAAATATGTAAAAAATACACATAAAAAAATAACAAATATCGGTGTATACTAGAAAAATTATACGGCTACACACCTCTCTTTTGACCCTCTTAACCTGTTTTGTCCATCGCTTCTTCCCTGAAATGGCATTAGCATAACTCCCCAGCCCATAGAGGTAATGATGGCGTGAAATTATGGCTGCCTCAGCAGACCTTATTCCCCTCTCTGCTTCTCCCTCCCTCTGGGTCCAAGGCCTCAGCCTTGTCTCCCATGCCTCCTTCTTTCTCTCCTTCCTCCTCTCCCTCGCTCTTTTTTCTCCTTTGCCTCCTGGTTCCATTCAAAGGGAATGTGTAACTGAATTTGAAATTGAGTGCCCTTCTTTCAAGGACCCCAGCTAATGAGACGTTTTGCCTTGAAATCTAGGCTGTAAGGGGGAGACCCTGATGGGTGGAGATGATAGCCACCCTGTACGTCAGGTGTAAGGCTGTCCAGATCTTTATCACTGAGAAGGCTTTCTATAGGGCTGACAAGTAAGGATAAGCCTGTACACAACGAGCAGCCCTTCTCCAGGTCACCTGGGACGACCATGGTGAATCCAAAAGCTGACCCAAAATAAAACATCTCTGTGATCTGCATCTACGGGCTGACACCAGCCACTGCTCCTCCTTTTGAATACATGTATTAGAAGCTATATTGTTAATAAAAAAAATAGGCCCATAAGGGTCTGGAAAGAGATTGGCGGTGACGGAGATGGCGGGGACTGGATAGGGTTGGATTGAGTTGAGGCAGGATGGAAAGCTGGAGGAGAGAGCCAAAGAGATGGAGACAGGGGTCAGACCCATAGAAACAGGTACACTTGACAGTTCGCGGTCCGGGGTTCATCCGAGACGGGTGCAATGATGAAAGGAATGGAGAGCTTTGCGTCCTAGGGGTTCCCCCTCTAATCAGGGGCCCTGAGGAGAGAACCTTGCAGCCTATATGGGCCCCTAGCCGCTGCAAGCTACTGTCATGCTAATGAAAGAGGCTCAGGGTGTGAATGGAGAGGCTAGCTTGTTACCAGAGTGCTAATTAATGCATGCAGCAGGAGTGTGTGTGTGTGTGTGTGTGTGTGTGTGTGTGTGTGTGTGTGTGTGCCTGTAAGGGTTTTATGCATTTTAATAAGGTATATGTGTATTTGTGAGTGAGCATGCACGTTTTCTTGTCAGTATGACAGAGAGGTAGACACATGTGCGTCCAGGTTTAAAAAGTGTGGAAATAATTTTGCCTAAAATAAATCTGCACCCAACATCATCGTACTGCTCTATAATAAGATTACTTTTAAAGATACAGATACATACAGCTAGAAGAGATTCCATGGGCTATATGGGGGAAAATAACATCTTTAGAATATGCAAATTCTGTGTATTATATCATTAATTCAAACTGATCACGATCTCAATCCATAATAATTATTTAATGCATAGAACCTTAACGACTTCCTCCTCTGCAACCTGCGCAGTCTACATCATTGTGTGATTGGAACAAACCTGTCTGATTTACTTTCATATGACCAGCTGCATCACAATGGCTGCCGAGTATAAGTGCCCTTGTGTTTGTCGTGTCCCAGACTATTTGATAAAAAATTATCCTTGGAGATTTGTTAAGGGGCCTCAGCTCAGACAACCCTTTCTGTCTACTTCACAGGTTCCCACGAACCGATAGATGGGGGACTCATGGATGTCCAGCATATGGCCCTGGGCTGCGGCATCATTGTCTGAGCTGTTTGCCTGAGATGAACAAACGGCATTGTTGCACGTGTCATTCAGACAACACTTAGGGGCGTGTGTCAGCGAAGAGAATGCCATCAAAGTGTGTGACCTTTTAATTTGCTGCTGGCCTCTCCCACAGACCTCTGTGTGGGCCGTACATGCCCAATTCTGTCGACCAGGACTCAGTCAATCTCGTTGCTATTGACAAGAGACATGTTTGCTGGATTCAGTTTGACTGATGCAACCCAGGAGGAAAAAATCCAGTAGATTTGTTATAAAATGCAGACATGTTTAAAATGATTATTTCAGCAATGGGGTCTAATTTAAATGAGGTTAAATGCTGCGAGGTTTTGCCAGCGAAAGAATTACCACAAGGCCTGAAATGTGAAATTGTCATCTTTGAAGAATTAAGATTATTTTCTAGAGCGTCTACTTGAATATCTCAGAGGAAGTGACCCAGTACAGCTGTAATACGCTCATGAAATATGCTCTACTTTTCCCATCAATCAGCTTATGTTCAATTTTGAACTGAAACTTGGAGTTTAAGCATTGTAATCTTTTTCTTAAAAGCAAACAAAAAAGCCAAATATGATTCAAAATTGATAGAACCACAGAGTGATATTAAAAGTGAATGCGTATTAATTGTTGATTTTTATTAAAAAACAATATCCTGCATCACAAGCGTCAACATCCTGCATGCATTTCAGTTGAGTACGTTTACGAGCAGCAGTTCATCCGGTCTAAAACACAGTGTGCTGATAACAGAACATATAGGTCACTGTCTCTCTTCATGAGTGCTACACACACTGGAGTTCCTACATTTTGTTCCACCAGGCGCTGCCGCCAATATCCCGTCCTATCCCCAACCTTGTCCGCTCTGTAAAGTGCCATTATAAAAATGTCAAGGGGTCCCTCTCCCTCGTCCTGCCTGTCAAAATCATGCGCCATTATGCAAATCAACGTGTGAACACACACTCTCACAGATTTACATAGGCTATATGGGCTATAGGCGACGGTGAATTCAGATGATTACGAATTAATCCGAGAGATACACATTGCATATGTACATCTATGAAAATGAGGGAATATTTTACATTTGCCCTTGAAGGTTAAAACATTATCAGTGCATTAACATGTATGTGGCAGCTGCGGATCAGGAGGTAAGCAGGCAGGTCCAGCAATCACAGCACAGGGGGGGGTTCGATACTCGACAAGGCACTGAACCTCGCTTTGCTCCTAATGGGCAGGCCGGCATCTCTTGTGGCACTCTGTCGCCAACGCAGTATGTGAAAGAATAAAAGAGAGGCAAATTGTAAAGCTCTACTTAAGAGCAGTCTAATCGTCATCATTTTCAACCACACAATTCTTTTTGAAAAAAATCCCTATTATATCTATATGTTTGTCCATTTTTAGCCTGAGAAGAACTGTTTGTTTAGCATTATTTTTTTCAAGAATACTTTCCTTTTTCTACAACTAGTATCCATCAACATCGTCAGGATCCACCCAGGGACTGTGAATAAAAAAAAGCTTCAAACTAACTCTGGTATGACACATTAAACGGCATCATTTATGTATAATTGTTGTACATGGTTTATTTACAAATGAAAATAAAACGTGGTTTCAATTTTACTTTTTCTTCAGCAAATATGCAAATGAACAAAGCTCAATCTTGTGGGTGTGCAGTGAAATACAAGTCAGTCAGACACATTCTCAAATTTGAATATATTCTCTGAGTTAAGAGGATTTTCACCACTGATACTTTTTATTGAAGAGATCATGCTAAATGGTCCAATGCCAGCACCCCTTTAAACTGGGTTTAAAGTGATTTTCTCAGTGGCCATCAGACAGAAGTGCATGTGTGATTTTACATTTCTTAACTCTCTCCTCTTTCACCAGTCTTAAATGTGTGAATGACAGTTTGTGGAGTGGTTCAGCTGTGCTGCAGAAATGGAAATAGTTTGCGTGAGAAAAGAGGGAAAGAGGGACATACAATGCAGAAATATGTAATTTATGGTGGAAAGCATGAATGTAGCTTAAGTGGCGGTCAAACCTTTAATGTAACCATTTGGAGGCAGGATCATTAAAGCAATTTACCTTGACTTTCACTGCATTGCTTTTTAAGTAATGACAGAGGTCCTCCTGTTGAGGGCAAGGGGAAAGAGTAACGTTTATCCCTCTGCTGCATATGTGCTTTACAGAACATTACATTACAAAAATAAAGATAGCACTGATAACTTCACCGCTCAATGACACATCAGGGTATCCATTAGCCGCAGGAAGAGCATAAGAGAGGAAAAAAACGGGGGAAAAAAGGAGAAAGAAATCGAGATCTGGCCCTCTGTTTTGACAGCCCTGAACCAGAATATTTCTCCATTGTTTGTTTCTGGGAGCAGAGGAGTCATGGATGTGCTTTGAGTGACAGTGAGGCCTATGCACGCTGACATGCGGAGCTGCTTCACATTTCCTCTAATTGCTCCGCGTTGCCCGAGCTTGGCACACATGTAGAGCATAGTAAGAGGGCGTCTTTTTAGGTCGAAACAGGGGGTGCTGTGATTTGGCATACAAAGAGAAAAAAGAGGGGGGAAGAAGAAGAAGAACGTGAGCAGGAGGAGGAGGAGGAGGAGGCGGCGGAGGAGGAGGAGAGGTATTCTATTATTCCTGATAGACTCTTCTGAAGGACAGAGAGGTGATGGCCTTGCTTGTACAACTCTGTGGCATAATAATACCCTGCATTAAATCTCTGGCCAGTTAGAGCAGAGATATAGAGCCGGCACACCTGATATATGACATCAGGTATATCTACCAATCAGCTGTCAATGATGGCTGTAGGTTTTGTGGTTATAAACAAATGAAGAAACAAAGACAGGGATGTGAGGGCTACAGTATACGGTGTTATTCATGGTGTCAGTTTGGACTCACGGTGTGCTGAGACGCTCTGAGATTGGAGGAAATCCTTGCAAGGGAGGGGAAAAAAGCCTCCATCCTTGCTGATGCTATTTTAATTAAATAGTTGCTAGGTTACATCTTGCAGAACGACAGGGGTGGGTGGTGTGGCACAGGCGCCAGAGTAAGGGGTGTGTGTTGGTGTGTGTGTGTGTGTGTGTGTGTGTGTGTGTGTGTGTGACATATCTCTGAACAATGAAAGCACATCCCCTTTTTTTTCCCCCACACCCAATCTATAATAAGGATTTCAAATGTGACACATATTGACATGAAATGCAGTGCGAGCGATTTTACACTCTCTAAAACTCTCTCTGGCTCTCTTGCTCGCCCTCTCCACATGTTCGCCTGCCCTTTTTTGTTTTTCTCTCACGCAACCAAAGGTGGAGGGGAAGCCCCCCTTTCATCTCTGTGACATTGCTTTTCACCTCTACTGGTGACTTATGCCGAGGCCTGGTGCTCCCATTGCGCCCTGGGATGCCAGACTGATGGAGGATGCCACAGGCCTGCGTACCCTGGCAACAACTCCTCTAACCCTCCCCATAACACACACACACACACACACACACAAACTCCTCCAGCCTCCTCTTGCACTCCAAACTCCAGACCTCTACCCATGCAGGACTCTGACCACACAGAACCCCAGAGTGGGCAGTGATGGATGGGGCTGGAGACAGTAGAGAGTCCCTTGATGTTGGAAATAAATCTGACAGGTCCTACTGGATAAGGCTGAGCATAATCTGTCTCATTGACTCCATGCTGAAGGGTGTGTGTGTGTGTGTGTGTTTGTCCTGTCTCTCCACCCTCTTTTTTTTTTTATTTCTAACAGTCTCCCTCTATTCTCCCCTCTCTATGCCAGCAGAGATAATGCCATAATTTACAGCTATGCATTATAGAAGATGAATGATAGTTGCTTTTTCTTGCTTAATATTCATTCACCGCGACCAGATAATAGTCTTTTGGTAGGAGGAATGAAAGAAATACCTTCAAAAGGATTGAGCATTTTTATGTTATATTCTCCCTGTAATGTGCTAAAAGTGATATATAATTCCCAGTCTTTCATTAGAAACAAAATTGATAATGATGAAAGTGTGCTCTGCTTTTCCTTTTTCATAATCTTGTGTGAAATATTGCAAGGAGGGAACAAAAGTTAGCTTTTGAGATTTTCCCCTATAGTCTCCTGAGTGTGTACGGAGCCTGCTTAAAATACATGCACACACATAATTTTTGCAAACGTCTGGTGCAAAAAACATCTCCTCTTGATGCATATCCAGCATAAATATGTATTCCATGTCTCTGTCACAAACAGCTATTTCTCCTTTCACACTCATTTCTCTGTCTCCACAGCTGAGTGTGCAGTAGAAGTTTCTGGAGCTGCAGTGTGCTCGTGCACCAACAGGAGCTGGAGGCGAAGTGTCTATGCAGAGGCCTGCTTCCCTCGGGACCCTTCCAAATGACTCCGGTGACCCTGCGGCCCTCCTCGATAGTCGGCATGCACTCCAGCAGGTCGCAGGCAGAGGTCAGGGGTCACTTGAAGCAACACGGTCTCAATATGTGACACAGACTAACAGGATCAAAAGGCAAATGAACTCTTTGGACAAGGTCATGTTTTTGCATGTTGGTGAAAGGATTGACAAGGCTAGTGATTTAACCTCAAGTGCAATTATGAGAGGTTGTTTGGTGTCTGAATTTGACTTCCTATTACAATTTGACCACCTCTGTCTCTTTGGTTCTTTATCTAATATCTTCCAAAAAATTTGAATCCTTGTTAAAAAATGTTGTTTTAAAAGTATACATTGACTGACTGTATCTAAAAATATACAGCTTTGAATATTATGTTGTGCAATGCCTTTTTCTATTTAACAAGCCCTGACCAAATCCAGTGAATTAGGGATGACAGTGTTAAAGTGCAAATCTAAATAGAGCTGGTCATATTAGCTTTATTTGTAGAGATATAGCTTTAATCATTTGAACACAATATACTATCAAGAATAAGAGAAACAAAAATCTGATATTATGCCTCCGTGCATTGCTTTAAATTATTTTCATCCCAGCACAAACACTGAATGTGTATCATTAATATCAGCTCTGATCTACAAGCTACATGCTAACTGACTGGGTTTAAATAACGTACATTTCTCCCTCCATCCAGAGTAATGTTCCAAATTTGTTGCCTTCATTCCAATCAGCGATATTTCCTGGTCGCAGCGTGGTGTTACATTGTGTTAATTAGAACCATAGGCTGGCTTTATGACAAAGTGTGGGAGGACCTGGAGGTTGAAGTGCTGCATGAATGCGATGTGCATCATCAGCCTAATGAAATATAACAGTGAAAATTAAGTCAGCCGCACCTGAGGCACGCAGAACAACAGGGTTACTGATGCCAAATGATGTAGGCTTCAGCTGTGTGTGTGTGTGTGTGTGTGTGTGTGCGCCTGTGTGTGGATATGTGTGTGTTTATATAAGTGCATTTACCAGAGCGTGAAACCACAAAGGAAGCAATTATGTTTGTTACTGTATTAATTCTTTCTTTGGAATAGAAAGGAAGAAAACACTGCAGAGGAAATGTGATGTAGGCTGCGTATCTTTTTTGTCCTAGTTGGAGCACCACATTCGCCAAAGTGCATCAAAGTGTCAGCAATTCAAATATGAAATATGGATGAAGACAATGGTGCATTTCTCACAATTTTTCTAATAAACTGTCAATCAAACTGCTCTCTGAATGACACTAATATCACATGATGCAGCATCCCGAATCAGAGTCCTCATCGATGCTCGTTCCCCCCCTTTTGGCTCAATGTGAGGCCTGTCCTCCCCTCTTATTATCACCATCATCATTCGGACATGAAAGGAGAGAAACAAGTGCCGCACCATTGCCAAGGAGAAACCTTGATCTCCCAGCATTTGCATTCGCCACCTTGTTCCATTGGGTGTGTGAACGCAGTTAGCAAGGTGGTCTCTGATTGGATGCCACTGAAAAGCTGGCATTCTGCTACAATGCTCAAAGCAGACGACAGGCTCTCCCCCTCCCCCCCCTCCCCCTCTCTGTACACTGTCAAACTCAGCTAGTGGCACTAGGGGGCAGCCCACTCTGACAGTTGTTGCTGTGAAGCAGGCATCTAGAGGAGGGTTTTCATCAAGAGAAAAAAGAAACAGAGCAAGAAAAAATATATATTCAAATGATTAATTCATTCATGTTGATTCCTTTTAAAAAATCTATTAGGAGTCTGTGAGCTAAGAAAAACAGACTGTAAGCTGTGTGAAGCATAACATTCATACTGTAAATCATGGATTAAGCATAGACTCAGAATATGGCATAATCTTGTCTTTGTGTGCCTCACTAGAAGCACATAACTGAACTAATAATTAATAATAATATATGTGGTAAAGTTTTCTTTACCATAAATAAAATAAGCAGCCATGGTGTGTCTGAATCAACCCCTTTCACCGTGAGATGTGTGAGAGATTGATAAGCGACACATCTCATTTTAATTCTAAGAATGTTTAAAAAGGCCAAGATGGATAGGGAATAAAAACCGCACATAATCTAGATTACTTCTTTTGTTTTTATTAGTGAGTGAATAGGGGTCGTTAATTTATTGTTTCTCATTAGACACATGCTTACACTCACTGCAGAAGGAGCTATATTGTTGCAGTGTGTTTGTGGTGTGTGGTATCTATCAGGATGCTGCTGATTGAAGCCCAACAACAATAAAGCATGAAGCACCCAAAAAATGAGCCGTGTTTATTTGTAAATGAATGGATGTAAGAATAGTGATTTGAATCTCAAGGACAGTCAGCTATTTCTTATTTCTTTCACGAGGCAGTGGACTTAACATTTCAAACATGACTAGATTTAAACGTACTTAGCTTGGTTATAATCTCGGCCTCTTTTTTTTTTTTTTACCTCCATATTTCCTGCTTTGCATACAGAACAGGTGCATGTTTGGCTCAATGAAGGCATGACACACAACTATGGATTTTTGATGACAATTATAAGTGAGGTAAGTAAATGATAAAAGGGTTAGAATAAGAGCGAGAGTTGCAGGGAAAAGGTGGACTATGGTGGAGACTCTCCTCCTGAATGAGTGTATCATGTATTTCTGGGTATTATCTGTGGTTTCAGCTGCTGCAGATCTATCAGAGCTATCTGACCTGTTCAAACAAGATTAAACAAGACCCGTTTTACATTCTCCACATTCCCTTTATAAAATAAATTACCTTCTAACTGTCCCCTCTCAATTAGTATTTTTTTATTTCTCTGAGCGTTCCTGAGATGCAGCATGAATAGGCTGAATTGTTCCATTAGTATATAAACTGCATGCTCTTTTGCAAACTATTAATAAAGGCTATTGATCAAACTGTTTCTTTTTGTGTTTTCATTTATCTTTTTTACATTTTTAATGCTTCCTTGTGTATTCAAGGTACACAGTTGAATACGGCCAAATATTAATGTCCTATCTTACTGGTTGCTGCATAAAAAAACACCTAAATGAATTGTGCTACTTTCCCAGCTGTTGTCATGGTAATGAAAAGATGATAATTGCATGTGTGTTACATTTAAAATGATTGCTGCATGCTGATCTCCATCAACCAACGTGTAATTGGCTCTTAATTCAGCAGGGGATCTTTTTTTTCTGTTTTTATCTTCCTCATTATTTGGGGGTATCATTGTAAAGAAAGCCAAAAAAAAAAAAAACAAGTCAGAGGAGTTTAAGCAATGTAAAGTGTTCTCTTTTAGGCCTTTCACTGTACAAGGTCAGGTCAGCGGTGAAGTATGGCTGCTGCTTCTCACAATCGACATGAGGGTGGGATCACCATTCTGTGTCGGACAGAAAGCCCACTATTATAGCCAGCCCTCCAGAAGCTTCTCATTTCTTCTGGCTGTGTTGGGGACAGAAGAGTTGGGGTAGGGGGGTCGGAGCTCCACACAGCGCTACGCAGAGAGGGACCTCGGTGAATAGGCCCCACTCAAGAGAAATAAAGGAACCTCTTTGCTGGTTTGTTTTGGAAGCTGTCTTATTGATCTGTCTACCAACGAATGAATGCATTGGCCCAGTTTTCCCGCTAGTATGAACAATGGCACTCAAGGCCTGTATTAACTGGGCCGATGTTATTCTCACAGAACGGCGTCCGTTAAGGGGAGTTTAGGAGCGCAAGCTCGTCGTTCCATCCTGTTATCAAATCTAATCTAGAAATAAAGAAATCAATGGTCACTGACAGCATAAATCGATGTCAGTTGGCACAAGGACGTATTTCATCAGTAAAATGATGCTAAAACACAATTACAGTATCGCTGAGCACCACAAAGACCGTTAAGTGTAGTGAGGGAGATGCAATTTCAAATCAATCCTGGGACCTTGAGGACCCGAAAAAAAGAGCCACACAAAAATGCAATTAAAAGCTCAGAAAGGGAAGACCTGATGTGCTTACAGGGCACAGAATAGAGAAATGAAGTTACAATGTTGAGGTCAAAATGTTTACAAATAAAACGATTTTCACATCTAATGGCATAAATTGGAAGACATGGGAGAATGAGACTCAACTGAGTTACACTACGTTCTGAATGGATGCTATGTGAGGCATCATTAGGCAGTCTCTTGTATAAACCAGAGTATCCTCAAACTCCAGTAGGAATGCAGACGTGCCATTTTGATAGTTTATTGACCCACGAAACTCATCTCAAGTGAATATGTATCTATAACATATCCAAACTTGTTTTCCTCTCCACAGTCATCAGTGTTGTTTAATGACTGTGACAAAAAAAAACCTATTGGAGACTTCTACATCTTAAAAGTGCAAACTGACAATTATGGAGGACTTCTTTTAACATTCTAAACAAAAGCTGAAAATCCCTGATTTGAATTTACCAGGCGTTCAGATTAAATGCATCTAAAGTTTTATTAATGAGCCTATCCTCCCGCTGTTCTTCAGCCACGAACGTATGTGAGGCGAGCGAGCCTGGGGAGAAGAATAACACAGAAACTAGCGTGTAGTAAAGAACATTATTTATTTAAGACAAAATCTAAAGCTGAAATAAATACATGAGAGAACAACATGTGAATTTACTTTAGTGAACCCAACTATGAAGAAAAAAAATAAAAAAACACAACACTTTTAGTGGCAACAAACAGAAGAAACAAAGCCTCATCGGGCAGCAGATTTCTGAAAGTATCCCAGCTACTTCTGAACGGACCAGACCATAACAAATAAAAAGGTTGATCTGCAACTGATTTGTCAAACACATTTTCAAAACTGATTTTCAGCCACCATGCACTCCCATAACAAAATAAAGTGTTTGCTGTTAAAATTAGAAATGTTTACAGGCCTCGACATGTGTAATAAATACAAAAACAAAGGTAATCAATAAAAAAAAAAAAAAAAAAAAAAAGTCATTAGGACATACGATTTTGAATGAAAGGTAAGATGGTAGTAGACGAGAAATGAGTTCAGGAAGTGCAGTGAGGAAAAAGGGGGTTAAATCAACTCGTACAAATCATTTTCATGAAAACAATCTAAATTAGGCAGGACTGATACATTCATTATGTGCATATTCCCCGTTATTAGACAAAACTGGAGCTAAGACTTTCAACACCTGGAGCTAAAAAAAAAATGTGATATGGTGCTGCTTGAGTTTGTAAAAATGTGTCTGTATAAAACTCATAGAGTTGAAATTCAAAAATGACAAGTTTGATGATCAGATGAATTGCCAGAAAGACCTCCAGATTGTGTAATAAAAGCTGGCATCATGTACCTTACATTCCTGAAAAGACCAGACATCATATTGGCCACCTGTTCAGTAAGCACAAGGATAACTTTTGTGCGCGCGTTAACCGAAAGAATCACACAGTACACAAAGACGCTGTAAATACCATTATGTCCTGTTGTGAACAGCGATCCTCTTTTATCAAGATGGATGTACAGAAAACAGAAGGCCGCAGAGTTGTTGTCCAGTTGTAGTTTCAAACACGAGCAGACACCACATCTACAGACATTAGGACAGGGGAACAGACTCAATTGGCACCGTTTTAAAAATCTGAATTTTTAAAAATTCACAATTTGATCCTTTTGAAAAAGAAAAGTAGAAAAAAAAGGTTCTTAAATGAGTTTAAAACAACAGATGTGTTAAGAAAAGGAGAACACAAAGGCGGTAGCTCTTCAACAGTAGTTGACATCGTCTCCTCTTGATCACAATGCCCTTTCAGAGTACAGCTGATGTACAGCAGAGACCCTATACATGCAGAAAGACAGACATGTGCTATCCTCCCTTAAAATCATCCCTGCTGCTCAAAAATAAAGAGCTTGAAATCCTCTCATAACTTCTAAAATGGCTCAGATAACAACAGGGAGGTTCAAATGTCAAGAAAACATCACAAATCTGTTGTATAGCCTTCCATTTAAAAAAACCAAAAAAAAACCTAAAGTTGTCCTTGACGGCATGTTCCATCAACAATATCTAAATACATCAGCTTCAAGTCAATAGTATTTCTTCTTATAGATATAGCATCTCCTCTCCTTCTTCTTCAGTTATTCACTATGTAACCCTGACAGCTCTTCACAACCATCAACAGGCTGCCCCACTCCTCCTCCTCCTCCTCCTCCTCGTACAAAGACAGACACAGTGGTTCTCGCAGCAACATTTTAAGACTCTCTATGATCCTTCTGTGGTCTGTGGAAATGGAATTTAGACATTTAAGTGAAACGAGAACTATTCTTAAACATATTTGTATCGATTTGATAATAAAGAAAAACATGGGGAACAAATACTTAAATCAAGTCACACATCAGCCTCCAAGACCTTCCCAAGTTTCATGATTTTCCATCACCTAAAATTCACTACAGATACAAAATACAGGCTCTCCAGGCCCTAAACCTAAGAACCAATCAATTAACGGATTGTATACTTTTATGCAAAGTTACTCCAAAAGTGTTTTTCTTGAATAAGTATTTTTTGGTCTCAAAATCACATCCAATAGTAGTTTTCAGTACCACAGAGATAATTTAAATAGGAAGTAAATAGACTTATCGACCCCTTCTTCTTCTTCATTTGGGCTGCCTACAGTAAAGTAAATCATGTATATGAACATGTTGATGGATCAAAACAATTTCATCAAGAGACCATTAATTATTCTCCAAAGTGACTGCTTTAAAAATTGACGTGTTAAATCAATTGTAATCACAAGCTAAGACACCGTATTCTGCCTCCAATCGTTAGAATTCATTCACTACAGTGGACCACTTTCTTAGAACAATGCCGATACACCAATGGAACCGTTGGTTAATATTCTTCCTACTCAAGCTTCAATTTTTAGGGTTATGAATCTTGCTCTTCAAAAAAAAAAAAAAAAAAAAAAAGGTATTGGTCATAGTACTAAAAAAAAAAATAACACAAGATCACAGAGTCATCCTGTGAGGAAGCACAGAAAGTTGAACCAGAAGCTCTGATGATATGGTCAGTCATGGTGAGGGTGTCAGAGGGAGGGAGGGAGAAAAGGAGGAGGGAAGGAGCAGAGTCATCAACAGGCCTCCGTTGCCCCAACTCAGTCTTTTCTGATCGGCCGGACACACGGCCCATGCTGAACACATGGGTGCATGGCCGCCTCTGCTGGGCTTCTGATGCTATGCCGCCATGAGATACTGATGGTAGAAGAGGCCAAAGAGGGAGGTGGAGAAGAGACAGGCGGCGATCCACCAAGAGAAGAAAGAGAAGAGGCCCCGGAAAAGCAAGGGGCTGAAGACAGTCCGCAGGCCCCCCAGGGCCACTGACAGCTGGGCCACTGACCCCCGGGCTCCTGTTTCTATACCTGGAGCTGGTGTTGAGGCAGCTATTGGTGGCGCCCCTATCACAGAGTCAGAGTTCAATTCATAGACGCAAGGCAGGTCATCTTCAGGATAGACCCACCAGGAATGTCCCCCTGTATTAAAAAAGGACATGAGGGGAATACAGAGTCAAACTTTGGAAGGAAAAGATCAATTATAAACAGGAAATCATCAAGTAGTGTGTGACTTACCTAATGTTTTTAGCAGCAAAGTGGTATGTAGCAGCATCACCAGTGGTGCAACATACTGTAGTGCGATTACACACAAGTAGTAAAAAACCCGTGCGACCTTCGTAAAATGAGAGAAAGAGAATTTCTATTTTACTTTGTGCAGTGCCATACGTTTCAACTGGAGAGGGCTTTAAAAAGAAAATGACAGGAGATTATGTGTATGAGTTGTGTGTTCTATGTTCTGTAATTTACAAAGACAGAACCCTAAATGTTTTGCTTTAATAAAGGGAAAGTGACTACTTTCCACATTTACAAAACCAGGAGGGTAGCACACTGTCACCGGTTAATATGGAAATACAGATCTTAACAAT